ACATACATATTTAACTACTCTTTCCACATATTCCACTCATATCCTTGTATTTCTTACTCTACCACATAGCCCACATACTCTCCTACACCCCCAACAACATGACCTTCCATCTTTCCTGACCGCATACCCAAACACCGGACGCTCACACGCGTCCGACACGCCACAACTTCCGGGAAAATTCCCCCCAAACCCTTTGCGACTAGACACCTGCGCGCCACCTGCCCAGCTGGCTCTATAGAGCCACCTGGGCAGATGGCGCGCATGGTTCTAGGCGTATATTTCACTACTTTTATGAACTTAACTTTATTTCTTAATTTTGATTTTAGGCCTTGTATGTTTGCAAATATGAATGATTTCCCATACAGTGAGTCACTTCGGGTGGGCTTAGCATGGTTTTAATGTATTAACACCACTTATGTTGAAATGCAAAAAAATAAATATATGTTTAATGTAATCGACCATTTAATTTTTATTCCTGTGAATGGTTGTCGTAAGAGCCCCAGCACACTGGTTTGCCTAGGGGCCCACAATTATGTTAAGATCTCCCTGGCCTCTACAACAAACACTCACAGGAAAAAAAGTAAATGGTTATGGCTCTGGCCTCTACGACAAACACTCACAGGAAAAAAAGTAAATGGTCAATATATTAAACATATAATTAGTTCACTGACACTTCAACAAAACTGGTGTTAAAACATTAACAAACATGCTGTAAACCCAATCTCCGTTGTGTAGTGGTAAGACACTCGCCTGGCGTTCTGCGAGCACTTTGTCATGGGTTCGTATCCTGGCCGGGGAGGATTTACTGGGCGCAAATCCTTAACTGTAGCCACTGTTTAAATCAACAGTAAAATGTGTACTTGGTTGTAAAAACGATTCTTCGTGGCGAGGATCGTATTCCAGGGACCTGCCCGAAACGCTACGCGTACTAGCTGCTATTCAAGAAGGTAACAACTCTTGTATATATATAAAAAAAAATAAAAAATAAAGCTGTAATGAATCAACATGATAAAAATTTGAACAATACACAAGGCTTGAAAAACACAAAAATACGCAGTAAAATACATAGATTAGATGGCACAATATGAAATTCCTATGAAATTCTTATTATAACAAGCATTTGTGGCATTTCTTTTCAGAGAATTGCTTTATTATTGGGTTGAAGTCAATGGTCTTCAGGATGTCCTTTTCCATGTACCTGAGTGAGAGCCAGTTCAAACGATGCTGCCCCATTGTGCTACTAAGCAGATTTTTATAAGTTTCACTCTTGAAAAAGAATGTTCTCCTGTACAGTTGATCGCCATCATGCACATGAACACTCTGAGTGCAATTTCAACATTCAGGAAAACTATTTTTCTGTACAGTGCCGGGAGAGTCTCACAATTTTCATCTAGATCCATGAAGTGCTTGAGATGCTTACATTAATTTAAAAGATCCTCATACTTCAGATCTTTGAGATTCATTTTAGCCAGATGCTCACAATTTTTCTTTAGTGCTTCAGAAGCAATGATTTCAGTTCATTGATAAATGAAAACAGATTTCTAATCTGTGAATAAGCCTCTACACATTTTGTCAGTTCAAAGATTAGAACGTCCAGAATAGGAAGGAAAGTTTTGACCTTGAATTTTTCGATTTTAATGATAAGTACCTTTTCTCTTGATCCATCATATCTACTAAGACGCCAAGTTCCTTTTCGTTCCTGTTTTTTTCTTATCACTGTAATCTGTATCTGGACACATACTCCTGGCTTTGAACTCATATTCAATATATTTGTCTCTAGTTTCCTGAATAGGTTTTAATAGACTCAAGAAGATTCGTGGTAACAAGGATGTTCACATCCTTTGATTGCAGGACCTTGTTTGTTTCGTTCATTCTCTCTGGCATATCATTCCAAAGATTTGTGAGAAAGATCGTTTCCAGGTTTTTCCTTTTTTTGCTCAGTCTTTCTGCCTCTCGCCTTGCATTCACTCATTAATCATTGTCAGCCGATAGAGACTCCAGTGCATGTTTTATTTTCTCGAAACCCCCATACAGAGCAGGAACAGCATCAACATGTGTTGACTATCCTGTGTCAGACAGACGCTTGACCACAAAAATCTTTTCCTAAAGATGATGGTAATACATTCCAACGACGAGTGTAACCAGAAAAAAATGAATACAGATGCTGAACAAAGTCAAAGAATTTGACAGCCTGTAGACAACACTCTGCCGCTTTTACTCCCACCCAGTTCAGGCTGTGTCCAGCACAGGGGACATAGATGGCAAACTCATTAAGTTGATGAATCCGTGCTTGCAATCCAGTATATCGTCCAAGCATTTTTGAGGCATTATCGTATGACTGACCACGGCAGTTTGATATTTTTTTTTGTTCTCATTAAGAAAGTCCACGACAGTGTCTGTTGTGGACTTGGACCATGTCACTCGATACTATGTATTAATAGTATCGATAGGATACTCTCTATTGATAGATAGGATACTCTCTATTGGAGGTCTACTTCACTGGATACTATATATTGAAGGTACACGTCACTAGATACTATCTATTGAAGGTCCACGTCACTGGATACTCTCTATTTGAGGTCCACGTCACTGGATACTCTCTATTAAAGATACGCCTCACTAGATACTATCTATTGAAGATACACGTCACTAGATACTATCTCCCCTACAGTGCCCTACAGATATAAATTCTGCGGTAAGCTAATATAACAGTTGTTGCAGTGGTTGCCTGTGTTTGATCGTGTGCCCAGCGATCATGGCAAGTGTTTATTTATATAATATATAAATTTTATTAAGGCAGTGAGTTCAAATAAGAGAGTAGAGATAGGAGGACATCCTGGGGGGGGCGGAATGATACGTCCACCCTCGCCGGAGGTCAAGTACTGACAGAGCGAGGGAGGCCCCAGCCTTGCGACCAAGGAGGCGGCTTGCGAAATGTCTGGACATGTCCTAATAGTATTTTCAAGAGATGTCGGATGGAGAAGTTTTATTTTCTGTGAATACATTTAAATATATTTTGTTAAGAAAACGTTTATTATGGCATTCTGAAGGATTTGCAGGTTTGTGAGGGCGGACAGCAACGTTTGTGAGGGAGAACCACAACGTTTGTGTGGGAGAACTACAACGTTTGTGTGGTGGAAGTTAGTGAGAGAACTTCGTGCCAGAGGAGTACAAGCTATACTGTAAGGTGAAGTAGGACTTCCAGTGAGAAGTGGAACTTCGTGGACATAGTGGATCTTTGAGTTGTGTAGGAAGTTACACATCGTTTGTGTGAAGCGTTTGGAGAGAGATTCAATAACATTTAAGGAGGACTTCATTGCAGCTGATTGGAGGTGCTGCAGGAGTGCCTTACATATTTTTAGGACCCTGATGATAATTGCAATAGTGGACCTCCAGCATTGGAATAGAGGATCATAAGGACCTCGATATCTAAGGGAGTGCTTGAGTGCGTTTTTGGCGTGAAAGGCGTAGTGCAAGGTGAGAGATTGAGGCTTTTTGTAGAGTAGGAAATGTATGAATATTATATGTGCCATGTATTGCAGCCTAAAGCAGTGAAGGAAGCAGAAGGCTGTGGACTGAAGTTCAAGCACCAGAACAAATCCACAAGGGCCGTGGCGAGGATTCGAACCTGCGTCCGGGAGCATCCCAGACACTGCCTTAATCGACTGAGCTACGACAGGGTTAAAAGGTTATCCTGTCGTAGCTCAGTCGATTAAGGCAGTGTCTGGGATGCTCCCGGACGCAGGTTCGAATCCTCATCACGGCCCTTGTGGATTTGTTCATTTGATGCATCACGTTAGTGTGATCTCTGTGTGTGTCAAGCACCAGCCTGGTACAGTTATAGGTTGGAGACATAAGGCGACATCAGAGTGTTATCAGTTGGTAGTAGCCTAAAAGGTGATTGTATTGTTTTATAACCATTTCATATATGTGTATTGTGTATGTTTATATGTATTAAATATTTCGTTTGTTAGCTGGCTTTTGCTCTTGTCCTGGTGAGGCTTCCTGGCTAGAGAGAGAGAGAGAGAGAGAGAGAGAGAGAGAGAGAGAGAGAGAGAGAGAGAGAGAGAGAGAGAGAGAGAGAGAGAGAGAGAGAGAGAGAGAGAGAGATACGGCTATAACTTGGGTGATAGTGGACTATAACTAAGGGGGATTGAGAGATCATCCAAAAACAAGGAGAGTGCAGGGAGTCCCGGCGGCTCAAGAGCGGGTGTGTACACATGATAACTAAGAAGTGTGAGCCGTACCCCCGAGTAAAGGTGAAGCTGAACACCTCTCCCAGAACCAGTCGCTTACCACGGTGATCTAAATAATTTAAAGCACTCCAGTGTTCATTGCTTGTCGACCGACAGTAGCAGGAGTGTGGCTGCGGAGGTCGGCTGTTCGTTCTGTCATGGAGTAGTTGGGACCTCTGTTCTATGGTAAGTGAATATCAGGTTGGTTCTAATAACCGAGTTTCAGTGCAGGTATAAAGAGACCTCTCTCAACTCCCAATCTTCCACCCCCCCCCCCCCCCCCTGATACTGGATACTATCTATTGAAGGTCGTCATCACTGGATACTGTCTATTGAAGATCCTCGTCACTCAATACTCTCTATTGTAGGTACACATCACTGGATACTATCAACTGAAAGCCCACGTCACCAGACACTATTGAAGGTTCACGTCACTGGAAACAATCTATTAAAGTTCCACGTCTATGAATACTATCCATTGAAAATTCACGTCACTGGATACTATCTATTGAAGGACTACGTCTCTGGTTACTATCTATTGAAAGCCCACCGGAGAGCGAATAAACATATGTGTGCAGGCAACCCTGAATTAACATTTGTATTCATGGGGACAGTTAATTTGATTATGTATACTTGTGTTAGTGGGTATACACACCAGAAGAACAGCAGAGGGCATGTGTCGACGATATCAATATAAATGGGCAAATGCGGGACGCAAAATATTACCATCGATGTTACCGTTGCTTACTAATTTTCAATTCACAGCTGAAGGAGATGTTGCAAGGATGAAGCTGCAACACATCTACCTCGGAGACAGGTACAACCTTGGGTCTGCCACCTGCGTATGGTGGAACAACAGCATCAATGGCTGGTCTACCGAGGGCTGCTGGCTGGAGGAGCAGACCGACCACTACACCATCTGTGTCTGCGATCACCTCACCAACCTCGCCGTCATGATGGATATCTATGGCGTCCTTGATAGTCATTTACACGTACGTTTAAGCTGTATGCTCAATATTTTGGGGACAAAAAACAAGTAGAGAGAGAGAGAGAGAGAGAGAGAGAGAGAGAGAGAGAGAGAGAGAGAGAGAGAGAGAGAGAGAGAGAGAGAGAGAGAGAGAGAGAGAGAGAGAGAGAGAGAGAGAGAGAGAGAGAGAGAGAGAGAGAGAGAGAGAGAGAGAGAGAGAGAGAGAGAGAGAGAGAGAGAGAGAGAGAGAGAGAGAGAGAGAGAGAGAGAGAGAGAGAGAGAGAGAGAGAGAGAGAGAGAGAGAGAGAGAGAGAGAGAGAGAGAGAGAGAGAGAGAGAGAGAGAGAGAGAGAGAGAGAGAGAGAGAGAGAGAGAGAGAGAGAGAGAGAGAGAGAGAGAGAGAGAGAGAGAGAGAGAGAGAGAGAGAGAGAGAGAGAGAGAGAGACAGAGAGAGAGAGAGAGAGAGAGAGAGAGAGAGAGAGAGAGAGAGAGAGAGAGAGAGAGAGAGAGAGAGAGAGAGAGAGAGAGAGAGAGAGAGAGAGAGAGAGAGAGAGAGAGAGACAGAGACAGAGACAGAGAGACAGAGACAGAGACAGAGAGCGAGACACAGAGAGACAGAGAGAGAGACAGAGCTATCAGGGTCAAAGCGCAGATCCATTACGACTATATAGCACTTGGAAGGGGTCAGGATAAGGATTTGGGATGGGACGGGGGGTAAAGAAATGGTGCCCAACGATTTGGACGCTCGGGGATTAAACGCCGGCCTGCGTGAAGCGAGACCGTCGCTCTACCGTCCAGTCCAAGTGGTTGGACAGAGAGAGACAGACAGACAGAGAGACAGAGACCGAGAGACATTTTGGGAGAGAGACAGATAGGGAGACAGTAGGACAGGCAGACAGCCTAATATCAAATATTGCTGCTTCTTTCTTCTTCTTGATAGTAGGTGCAGTTTGCATGAAGGGTTTGTCCTCCCGATGACTGCACCAGTACAGATGTTGGTAGACGCGTTTATGTTGAGGATGATAAGAGTTTCAAAAGTGCTTGTTGCGTTGTGCTGTAGACAGAGGAGCGGCGACTAAAACAGAGGTGTGTGTTAGAGGGAGACTTGCCGCACCGTAGGGCGGTGTGTTGTGTTTATGGCGTCAGCTGATCCTTGGTGTTGCCACGAGGCAGTTGTTTTCTGTGTTTAGCTGTTGGTGGCGCCAGGTATAAATGTGGCGCGGGTCAGATGTGACCCAATTTGTTGGTCAACTGCAGATATTTAGCCAGTGCTTTGACTATTTGGTATTTTTCTTGTAACGAGTGGTCACCGCCTCCTAATATATGCTCGATGGTAAAGGGTATTTTAAGTGAGATAAGTACTTGTTTGAAATTTACTCTGGCACTATAATGTCGGAAGCAATGTAGGAGATAGTGTTCGATTGTTTCAGGCACCTGACAGTGGATGCAGAGTTCGTTGATGTCTGTTTTGTACTTAGAGCTGTGTGCTGCTAGTTTGGCAACCTGTTCTCGCAAATTCGTAAAGTCAATATTGACTTATTAAATAAGTGCATAGGTGACATACTAAACATAATAGATAACCTTAAAAAGCTTCATAGAAAACACCGACCTAACCTAACCTTGTTAGTATCTTAAGATAAGCATCTTATTGCTTCGTAATTACAATTGTTACTTAACCTATTATAGGTATAGGTTAAGTAATAATTGTAATTACGAAGCAATAAGATGCTTATCTTAAGATACTAACAAGGTTAGGTAAGGTCGGTGTTTTCTATGAAGCTTTTTAAGGGTATCTATTATGTTTAGTATATCACCTATGCACGTAGTTAATAAGTCAATATTGACTTTACGAATTTGCGAGAAAGGGTTGAGTTTGGTGTGTCCAAGCCTTAACCTGGTCATCGCTATATCAATTTCTCTGCTTTTATATTTGACATGTTTCCAAGTTTTCCATTTCTTTTTAATGGACCCATAGTACAAAGGTGGGCATGACGTTTTCCATTTCGTCGCAAAATCTTGGGTGATGGTATTTTTGAAGGCTCCTTTACGTGCAACATGGGGAATTGGATGACGAGTAATGTGAGGTGTGTTGTGCATTGCTTTGGCTAGTTGATCTACTAGTTCATTATGGACAATACCACAATGCGCTGGGACCCATTGGATAGAGGTATCATAACCGTTCAATCGATGTTCATGAAGAAGTTGAAGACATGGGTAAACAAACTCCTTGCACGTTTTTGAAGAGTACGTAATTGCTTGAATCGCACTCTTGGAGTCACTGCAGATTGTACATGTCCCGATTGGTAGTGTTGTGATTATTTGGAGAGCTTGACATAAGGCATATAATTCAGCTGTGAAAACAGATACTTGGTTTGGTAACCGCCATCCCTGCTTGAGATGGTATTCCGGTATCCATACAGCGGTAGTGACCGAGGGTACGTTGTTCATGATGATGCGAAATCCATCTGTATAAATCGCTGTGGTATTTGGGTAGCAATTTTTCATTGTTGAGAGAAAGACTGAGGCTATGGCTGAGTTTGGTGCAGATTTTGGAATGTTGTCTTCGAGTTGTATTGCTGTATTAGGAGTTGTATAAAGCCAGGGTGGAATAGGGGGAACAGTAAGTTGGGTTTCCGAGTTTTGGAGTAGAGAGAGGTCTATATTGAGGTTATTTGTAGCCCGTGTGAGGAAAGGTTGTGAGTGATTGGTTGGGAAGCAGGGGTTATGTGGGTTAACTGTTGGGTTAATTTTTGATCTGTTGCCTAAACGCGCAAGCTTTGCGAGGAGGCAAGTATGAGGAATGCTATCAAAAGCTCCTTTGAGGTCTAAGTAGAGAACAATACAAAATTTGCTGCTTCTGAGGGAGGTGCGGATTTCATGTTCAAGGCAGAGTATTTGATCGAGTGTGGAGCACTGCGGTCGAAATCCAGCTTGGAGTGACGGTAAAATATTATTATATTCTAGGTACCATTGGAGGCGAGTATGTACTAGTCTTTCCATGACTTTACTGAGACATGATAGTAGGGAAATAGGTCTATATGACGCAGGTTGGGATGGGTCTTTTCCTGGTTTAAGGAACGGAAGAATAATACTGGTCTGCCATTGTGAGGGAATATTTCCGTGAGTCCAGCATAGGTTGTAATAGTTTAGGAGAGTACTATGTGCAGTTGATGGAAGATGTTTAATGAGTTCATATGGAATTCCTCTCCAGGTGTCTTACCAAGAGGTAGGCGGGTTAAGGCTAATTGTAGCTCGCTTAAGGTGTACATGTTGTCGACGCCGGGCATGAGTAGCAGTATGGCACGGTCAATTTCTTGTCTGAGGGGGAGTTCTTGGGCATGAAAGAAGGGTGTTGAGAGGGTAACTTTAAGACATTCAGCAAGAACATTTGCACGCTCCTGAGGTGTTTGACAGAGTGAACCGTTGATCATCAGGGGGAACAAAGGGAATGTTGGGCGACCTTTAATGCTGTTAAATGTAGCCCAGACTTTTGAATGTGGCGTAGTGGGTGTGAGGCTATCACAAAATTTTGCCCATGATGCTCGCTTTGCTGACAGTATGGTTTTTTTTTGGCTTCTGCTGTGGCCCGCAGGAGATTAACCCAGTTCTGTAGGGAGGGTTGACGTCTTTGTTTTTGTATGGCTCGTCGGCGTAAAGCGACTGTTCGTTCACATTCCGCGTTCCACCACGGTTTAAGTGGTTTGTTGGACCTATGTCCAGAAGTTTTCTTGAGCATTTGGGTGGCTGCAGAATTTATGGCCGAGGTGATTGTGGACAGTCGCGTGTTTGGATCTACATCATCTGTATCTGGGAGACAGACAGTATCAGCCCATTTTTTCTTATCTAGTTTCTTAATGTTCCACTTGGGGAGAGTTGGGGGGGGGGGGGTGGCTGAAGGTTAGTAAATTTTATAATGAGGGGTTTGTGGTCACTTCCAATATCTGGTCCAGTATGAAACTGTAGTTCATGTTGAAAGTGTGCAGAGCCAAAACAGATGTCCAGTGAGGCTTCATAATTGGTTCTGTAGTTAAAGTAGGTTGCAAGGTAGGGCGGCGAAAGAAGAATATATGGTGTAGTGTCTAAGTAGTTATATAAATTGGTGCCTGCAGTATTTTGGGTACCTCTACTCCATGTGGGGTGATTTGCATTGAGATCACCTGTAACAATGATCGGTTGCCGTAATTGGTTTAGATAGAATTCTAGTTCATTTAAATTTATTGTGCCACCAGGGTTGTATATACCCAGAAAGGATATGTGTGCACCATTGTAGGGCATTAGGCATGCTAAAATTTCTAGTTTATTATTCACAAAATGTGCAAGCGTTACAGGTTTACATGTCATGTTACTCCGTGTTAGGAGGAAAATACCACCACCCATACAGTTTGGTCTGTCCAGTCTCTGCATCTGAAAGTTTTTAAAAATAGGATTTTGTTTAGGGGTGAGCCAGGATTCGGTTATGAAAGCTAAGTCCGGTTTGGATGAGTAAAGGAATTGTTTAAGTTCTGTGAGGGATGTTTTAATGCTTTTTGATTTCCAAGTCATGAAGGTTAGGGGAGCCATTTAGGATGTGTGGGTTATGGATGTGTCTGTTTTCCTTGGCATGCCAGTAGTAGTACGTGTTGGATACCTAGATGTGGATGTGGGCTGTGTCTTACTCTTGGTACTGGCGGTTTGGGTTTGTGGCAAGTCAGCCTGTGGAATGATTTTGGTAAGGCGTGCTAGGGAGTTATTTATGAGTTTTTCTATCATCTGTTCAAACAATGTGTGTCCAGCAATGGTGGCTTTGTTTGGGCGGATGTCAGTGTCTGTAGCTGTTGATGGGATGTCTTTTGGGTCAGCCTCAGGAGTGGGTTGTGTTACTTGTGTAAAGAATTTAGTTAGAAGTCGGTCCAGCGTCTTTTCTAGTACATTTTCAATGCGAGTGACAAGAGTTTCAACAAGATCAGGATTCAGTTGTGCATTTTGTGAGAGATGGTTGGACCCTGGGGTTGTGGGAGTGTCGGTGACAGATATATCAGGTACACGCAAAGGTTGTGTTTGAGTGCGAGATAATGTTTGATGGTGGGCTGTGTTAGGTTGTTTCAGTGCACTACTGTATAGCAGGTTGTTGGTAGGGAGAACCTTAGATTTTGCTGCTGCTGCTATGTATGAAGGACATTGTTTGAATGTAATGTCGTGATCGCCACCACAGTTTGAGCAGGTAAGTGTATCTGATGTACAATCTTGCGTGTAATGGGAACCAGAGCATTTCCCACATTTAATGTCTTTGGTGCAGCCTTTCCAGGTATGGTTAAAACCTTTACATTTAAAACACTGAGTGCGACGTGGTATATACACTTCTAGTTTATGGAGGAAGCCGTTTAACCAAATCCTCTCAGGGGGAATGTAGTCTAGAAAGGTAAACAGAGCAGTGCCTGTATCACTCAGTTCTCTGTTTGTTCTTCGCATAATTTTTTTGATTCCATGGATCGGGATGTCAAGTGTCTCAAGTTGTGCTTTGATGTCGTCTACACTGATGTCTACCACATGTCGGATTACATATTTTGTTAATCGGTCCCCTAGTGGTTTGTAGCACTTGACTTTGTGGCCACAGATGTCAGTAATGTCTGAAAGCTTTAGTTCTTCGCCATGTTTGTGGTCCACTGCGATCAGGTTTTTTTGTTTATTTGGTCTCATATTGTGCACGTTGATCCCGAATATCTTGGGAATGGCATTATATAATATACTTTGTGCCCGGCTATTTCTGAACACATTTTCCTCTTCGCCATTAAAGGCAATGATGAAAGTTTGCAAATCAGAAGAACTTGGCCTACCTTGGTTGTGCAGTGGATGTTAATACTGGGGCCCCGTGGTGCCGGCATGGTCTCTGTTTACCTGTGTAAGTTGGCGGCGTTTCGCCTCTAATCTGTTTGCCTTGCTGTGATGTTTGCTGTCTTGGAAATCTCCATCTAGATCCTCTTCTAAGACCGGGTGACGTTCATGATCTAAATGTGTGGTATGCAACAGTGGTTCCCCAGTGTCCTCAAAGGTATCGTCAATATTTGTAGGAGAGACGCTGCGTGAATCTCCATCAGTCGCCATGACATCCACATGGTTTTTTTGCTGCTTCACATTGTATTAAATTCCTTTTGTATAAACCACGCATCCTCAATTCGCCTGAACCTCTCGACATTATATCATCTTACATCACTACACAACACAGCGCTCCTGTCCGAACAACTTCCTGTTGTCTTCAACAGTTCCTGGTTCCATCTTCCTGTTGTCTTCAACAGTTCCTGGTTCCATCTTCCTGTTGTCTTCAACAGTTCATGGTTCCATCTTCCTGTTGTCTTCAACAGTTCCTGGTTCCATCTTCCTGTTGTCTTCAACAGTTCATGGTTCCATCTTCCTGTTGTCTTCAACAGTTCATGGTTCCATCTTCCTGTTGTCTTCAACAGTTCATGGTTCCATCTTCCTGTTGTCTTCAACAGTTCATGGTTCCATCTTCCTGTTGTCTTCAACAGTTCCTGGTTCCTTCTTCCTGTTGTCTGCAATAGTTCCTGGTTCTATCTTCCTGTTGTCTTCAAAAGTTCTTAATACCGTTATATTCTGTTTAACTGTCCATTTTACGGTCAAATGCTTTTCACCTGTTTTTGGTACCATCATATGCTGATCAACAGTTCTTTGTACCATCATATGCTGTTCAACAGTTCTTGTTAACATCATATCGTGATCAACACTTCTTGATACCATCATATGTTGTTCAACAGTTCTTGGTACCATCATATGCTGCAAGCCCCTTGAGAATCTCTGCCAGCAGACTTTAAGATTATGGCTATTGAAGGAAAAAAGAACCAGACAAATCCTCATCTGCCTCGTAACATTGCACAGATGCATACAGAAGCAAACATGGCATCCGACAGCTTCACTTACTTCACAGATGGGTCAGTAGACCAGCAGGGACAAGAAACCGGAGCTGCAGTTAAAACAGGAAACTCTGTAAATAGTTGGAGACTCTCAAATGGGTGTTCGACTTTACAAACAGAGATGCTAGCCATTCAAAAGGCTAGCAAAAGGCCATTGAAACCTTGCAACAAGAACACATATGTGATAACATACATCTGATCACAAATGTCATATCATTAATGCAAACACTCAAACGACAAGGCCGACGGGTACTTATCAACTGGGTGCCAAGTCATGTGGGAATAGTAGGAAATGACATTGCAGACGAAGCTGCAAAACTTGCAACTAAGAGAAGAAATGTAGACATTTACATACCACAGAGTCTATCACAGATTAAGAAAGTAATTAGAAACAGAGCAATGCAAAAGATGTACAGTGACCACAACACAGCATTTGCAACATCAGGATCTGCGGGTTGGTACAAGAATTCAACCAACTACGAACCACTTAGTTTGATGAAAGGGAGCAGTACAGCAACAGAAGTGCACTTACATCGCATCAGGCTTGGATACCGATGTGCATGGGAAATAGCTTACAGGTTCCGGAAGATGAGAGGGAATGTCAGCACTGTGGACAAATCCCCGACAGACCCCTGGAACATTATCTAACACAGTGCACAGTTACAAACCCATTAAGATTTCAACTTAGATTCAACAGAGCAGAAGAAGTTGTTAAACACATATGGCAAAATCTTACTAAAGCGACCATACGAGTAATAAATACTCATTCTCCGCCCCCAAGTAAAACAGAAACAAGCAACACTTAGTGGGCCAGCCAGAGGCTGAGGGCCAGCGCAGGAATATCCCTGAAAAAAATATGCTGTTCAACAGTTCTTGGTACCATCATATACCGTTCAACAGTTCTTGGTACCATCATATGCTGTTCAACAGTTCTTGGTACCATCATATACCGTTCAACAGTTCTTGGTACCATCATATGCTGTTCAACAGTTCTTGGTACCATCATATGCTGTTCAACAGTTCTTGGTACCATCATATGCTGTTCAACAGTTCTTGGTACCATCATATGCTGTTCAACAGTTCTTGGTACCGTCACTTAGTCGCGCTATACAATTGTTGATAATTAATATCATGTTATCCCGTCTCAGGTGTACCTTCACTGGATAACTGTCATTGGGTGTTCCGTCTCTGTCATCTGTCTGCTGTTGACTCTCATCTGCTTGTCACTGGCTCTCACCTCAGCCAAGGTAACACAAATTTATTCACTACTTCTGCATAAAAAATTAAATGAAAGTAAAAATGTGTTATATAGAGATGTTGTATGAAAATTATATTAATGTAAAAACAGCTATATTATTTTAAACTAACCTTTAAGGATCAAAATGTGTTTGAGGCTAACACTGTTGGCAGTGTGCTTTCATCCTGTTTTCCCCACCTAACTGCAAATTGAGAGGTCGCACTTCAGCCCTCTTCTCCTCCTTATAACTTGGTTCACTGTGTCTGTTTTTATTAAAATTTGTCTCTTGAGTCTGTCTCTACAATCTCTCTGCTTAGCTAGTTTCATATCCTCGCATCTACTACGTTGCAAACTCTTTACCTAGTTATTACTACTTAAAGAATCCGATTTGCTTAGCACTTGCTATTTAAAGCTCCCCCAGAGCTTGGCACTTTCTATTTAAAGCTCCCCAGAGCTTGGCACTTTCTATTTAAAGCTCCCCAGAGCTTGGCACTTTCTATTTAAAAGTTTCAAAGGCTTTTGCATTTCTTCTGAAAGTTCCTCAGGGGTTGGCACTAATTATGTAAGTGTCCTAGGGCCTAGCATTTACTATTTACAAAATTTACAAATTTCAAATTAAAAAAAAAAAAAAAAAAAAATAAAGTTCTCCAAGGCTTGGTGCTTTCTATTAAAAGGCTTGTTACTTGATATTTCAACATCCCAAGGCATATAGCTATTATATGAAGGTCCCAAAGGCTTGATACATACTATTTAAAGATACTCAAGGCGTGGTACTAACTATTTAAATGTCCCAAGGCTTAGAATTTACTATTTAATAGCCTCATGGGTTTGCATTGTTCTACTGAGCTCCCTCTCTTATATCGTGTCATAGCTAGAGGTCCTAGTGAAATCTTTCTGTTACCTCGTGTGACACATGGACCAGCTGTTTGTCACCCTCTGTGAGTTTGTGTGTCTCTCTCGTTGTTTGATGCTCAGTGTTGACCTCCTGTGGCTTCAATATCCCAGGGTATATTCCTGGGATATTGCTCGTTGGTGCTATTCAATGCTCTGTGATATCCTGTGGTTCTTGACTGTCCTCTTGGGGCACTGTTGTTTGGTGCTCTGTGATATCCTCCTGTGGCTGACAGAAGCCCTCTGGTGGCACCGGTCCAAGTTGCTGGCATATCAAACACAAACAGTGAAATCAGCGAATAATCAGGAATTTCCATTCATGTCCATGTAAAGAGGTTTTCTTCAATTATTTTTGGCTTATTTAATATTTTTTGCATTTTCGCATTTCTTTATTTCTTCTACTAATATTTTTTTATTGTATTATTATCTTAGGGTTTACTATCATTGCACAAAGTTGTACATTGGCTTTACTGAGATGTCGAGGACGTTGTAGAAATTTTTTTTACTTGATCTTTCTTTATCACTCCCTCTGTATTTCCACCTATGTCCCCTTGTGAGTGTACCACCCGTGTTAAATAATCCGCCCTTACCTACTCTGTCAATTTTTCTGAGAATTCTGTATGTGTGAAGATCATGTCTCCCGCGCTCTTCTGTCTTCCAGCGACGTGAGATGCAATTCACGCGGCCTTTCCTTGTTACTCATGCCTCTTACTTCTGGGTCTGGTCTTGTGGCATACCGCTGAACTTTCTCTAGCTTGCTTGACACTTGCTTATGCATGACAAGGTATGTATTCCATGCTTTGGCGTATATTCCAGGATTGGTTTTACATATGTGGAATACAAGGTTCGTAATGATTTCTAACACAAGTTTCTAAAGGCAGTTCTGATGTTAACCTGATACGCTGCTGATGATATTTTTTTGATGTGGGCTTCAGGAGACAGGTTCGGCGTGATATCAATTCCAGATCTTCCTCGCTCACCGTTTCATTAAGAACTTCGTCTCCCATTCGTTATCCTGTATCTGGCCTTCTGTCTTCGATACCTAGTTTCATTACCTTATATTTACTTGAGTTGAACGTTAGTAGGCATTTGCTGGACCATTCCTGCAGTTTTTCTAGGTCATCTGTAGCCTTTTTCTATCGTCATCGGTCTTAATCCTCTTCATAATATTTGCATCATCAGCAAACATTGAGAGAAACGAATTTATTTCATCTGGGAGATCATTTACATATATCAGAAACAGCATAGGTCCGGGGACTGAACCCTGTGGAACTCGACTAATCACGTCTCTCATACCATCAATCAACTAATGCACAGGTTCCTGAGCCTATTGGTCTCTATCATATCTACATTTGAAACTGTGAATGAAGTCTGCCTCTACCACATCACTTCCTAAGGAATTCCATTTGTCAACTACTCACACACTAAAACAAATCTTTCTAATGTCTCTATGGCTCATTTGGGCATTCAATTTCCACCTGTGTGCCCTAGTACTTTTGCTCCTTTTGGCACAAGTACATAAGTTTAAACTGTGGCACTACTCTATGTGAGGAATTTATGGGTAGAACGGCTGAGTGCACCGCTTGGGATTCGTATTCCTAAGGTTCCGGGTTCGATCCCCGGCGGAGGCGGAAACAAATGAGCAGAGTTTCTTTCACCCTGATGCACCTGTTTACCTAGCAGTAAATTGGTACCTGGGAGTTAAACAGTTGCTACGGGCTGCTTCATGGGGATGTGTAACAAAAAGAAGGCCTGGTCAAGGACCGGGCCGCGGGGACGCTAAGCCCCGAAATCATCTGAACATAACTCAAGATAACCATGTCTCCGCCATTGCCCAGGATCGAACCCCGGTCTCCAGGATTACGAGTCCTGAGTGCTGTCCACTCAACCACCAGGCGCCTTGTGTGGGTGTGTGAGTACTCACCTATTTGTACTCACCTACTTATTTCTGCAGGATCGAGCATTGACTCGTGGATCCCGCCTTTCGAGCCATCGGTTGTTTACAGCAATGACTCCGGTTCTATTTCCTTATCATACCTAGTTTTAAAATTATGATTAGAATTTACTTCCACAACCTGCTCCTTAAGAGCATTCCCATTTTCCACTACTCTCACGCTAAAAGAAAACTTCCTAACATCTCTGTGACTCATCTGAGATTCCAGCTTCCACCCATGTCCCATCGTTCTGTTACTATTCCGTGTGAATCTTTCGTCTGTGTCCACTCTGTCAATCCCCTTGAGTATTTTATAGGTTCCTATCAAATCTCCCCTCTCCCTTCTTTTTTCTAGTGTCGTAATGCTTAGTTCTATCAGGTGCTCTTCATACCCCCATCCCTCGTAATGCTGGGACGAGTCTCGTTGCAAACTTCTGAACCTTTTCCAGTTTTCTTATGTGTTTCTTCAGGTGGGGACTCAATGATGGGGGCGGCATACTCTAAGACTGGCCTGACGTAGGCAGTGTAAAGCGCCCTAAATACCTCCTTACTTAGATTTCTGGATGATGTTCTGACTTTTTCCAGTGTAGAGTACGCTGCTGTCGTTATCCTATTTATATGTGCCTCTGGAGATTAGGTGTTACATCCACGCCCAGGTCTCTTTCTCGCATCGTCACTGGTAGGCGGTTCCCTTCATTGTGTACTGTCCCTTTGGTCTTCTATCACCTAGTTCTATTTCCATTACTTTTCATTTGCTCGTGTTGAACTCCAGTAGCCATTTCTCTGACCATCTCTGCAACCTGTTCAGGTCCTCTTGGAAGATCCTGCAATCCTTATCTGTCACAACTCTTCTCATCAACTTTGCATCATCCATGAACATCGACATGTAGGACTCTACTCCGGTAAACATGTCGTTAACTTATATTAGAAATAGAATGGGTCCCAGCACCGATCCTTGAGGTACTCCACTCGTTACTGTTCGCTAGTTCGACTTCTCGTCCCTTACCATAACTCTTTGGATCCTTCCTGTTAGGTAGTTCCTTATCCATGCTAGGGCCTTCCTCCCATCCCCGCCTGCCTCTCGAGTTTAAACAGCAGTCTCATGTGCGGTACTCTATCAAAGGCGTTTTTGGTAGTCCAGAAATATGCAGTCTGCCCAACCTTCTCTGTCCTGTCTTATCCTCATTATTTTATAATAGAATTCCAAAAGGTTTGTTAGGCACGATTTCCCTTTCCAGAACCCATGTTGATGTTTGTTCACAAACCTAACGTTTTCCAGGTGTGCATCCAGCCGTAGCCTAATTATTCTTTCAAGTATTTTACAAGGGATGCTTGTCAGTGATACAGGTCTATAGTTAAGTGCCTCCTTCCTATCACCTTTCGTGAAAATCGGTACAACATTTGCCCTCTTCCGGCAATTGGACAATTCTCCTGACATAAGTGATTCATTAAAGATCGTTGACAGAGGCACGCTGAGGGCCTGCGCTGCCTCTTTTAGTATCCACGATGATACTTTGTCTGGTCCAACTGCTTTAGATGCATCCAGTGTTGTCAACTGTTACATTACCTCCACTGCTGTCACCTCTGTTTCTGATAGTCTTTCATCTAGGGTTTAATAAATAAGAGATTCATCATCTCTTCTAACAATGTGAGCTGCTCAGGCTTGGTTGTGAACATTCCTTGGAAACTGGCATTCAGTGCCTCGCAGATTTCCTTGTCACTTTCAGTATATGACCCCTCTGTTTACCTTAGTCTTGTCATGTGGACGTTCACCGACATTTTCTTCTCATATAGCTGAGTAGTAATTTAGGTGTCCTTTGTTTTGATCGCAATATCGTTCTCATAGTTCCTTTCCGATGTTAGTCTTATGTTAATGTAATCGTTCCTAACTCTGTTGCATCTGATCCTGTTGTCCTCTATCCTTTGTCTTCTATACTTCCTCCACTATTATTATAGTGGAGGATTATATTCCTCCTATTAAATTATAGAGGGTTATTATATTCTTTCTTATTTTTTCACTTTACTGTTGATATAAATCTCTCTTCAGCCTCCTGGCATTTCCGTATGACTGGGTCCATCATATCTTGGACTGTTTTTCCTCTAATTTCTTCCTCCCACTGCATTTCTCCCAGATAGTCCCTTATCCCCCCTGTAGTCCTCTTTCCTGTAGTCGACTCTCCTTTCCCAGGCCTCTTGCCCCATGGTCACAAGTTTGAATTCCATCATGTAGTCAAAGACTAGGACACAATGGTCGCTGGGCCCCTAGATGTATTTCACGTTCCAAATTCTCGATGTCTTCTGCGTTCTGGGTGAAAATCAGGTCTAATAGGCTCGATGCAACTCCACCTCTTTCCCTTGTGTCTTCCTTCACATGTTGTGTTAGGAAATTCCTGTCAATAACATCTACTAACTTTGCTCCCCACGTTTCGTTCCCTATATGGGGATGCCTTGATTCCCAACTTATCTCTCCATGATTAGGGACCCCATGAACAGCAGCTTCGCTCTCATTCTGTGAGTTAATGTTACTGCCTCTGCAGTTCATCTATTCATGCCTTGTT